GCGAACGGAACAAACCGTGATTGAAACTAACTGTGATGCCGCTCTTTATTCGTTGCGCTAACTGTCGCCCGTCAGTGGCAGACCCGCCCCTTTTAAAGCGCCAGCTTAATCCATCAATATGGGTTTCTACGGATGGAATTTATTTGATTCCTTCGTGATTTTTGCGGTCCTCGGATCCACTTTATACTTGTGGACAAGAGATTTGAGGCTCTAATCTTTCATTGTGTCCGAGGACCGGCAACCCAAGGCCGAGGCCAAGGCCAAGGAATTGACTTCCAAGGCCAAGGCCAAGGACCAAGGACCGACCTTTGGTCCTCGAGCCGGTCCTCGAGGCCAAGGACCGGCTCGAGGAACACATCCCTGATCAATGCTGATGGAATACCCACCTCTGACATTTCCGATCAATACTATTTTCTTTGAATTCTGATTATCCATCAATTTGTTGTGTGCATGTTGCTTGCATCCCCAAAACCATCACTTTTCAGGAAACCAAAACAAAACATTTGTTGATCGATTAACATTGCATCGTCAACGGGACCAAGCCATTATTAACAGCTTTAATTGGTCAATAATTTGTTTAGAGAAAAACAAAACAACAACAATTTTGGTGGTAAAATTAAAAAAAATAATAAATGGCTGGGCTGACATGGCCCATATCGCCTGAGAATCGTGGGGATCCACTGTACACTGTGTATGGTTTCACAGCCCCTGAGGTTCCAATGTATGCAAGCACCTATGGACATACTCTGACCAATAACCCCCCCCCCCCCAAGTCTTACTTTGACACATGATTCCGTTGCCTTTGGTAACGTTCTCTCTGCGGGCTACGACCTCTGACCTCCATCTTCCTGTCGCTTCGGTGTGAGGAAGAGGAATGCATTTCCCCATTTTTTCTGGCGGGAGATCGGCTTCGACTCCTCTCATGGCGTCTTGAGTGATTCAAAGCGGAGGACTGGTATTGTTTTCCGGCAGGAATCTACAGTGTGAAGAGAAGATTGAAGTGGAAGGCCGTGTGGTCCACTAACGTTACGCGTGTGACATGAAATTTTACTGCTTACTGACCAGGAGGCCGTAGCCAGGAAGATGATGGGAATGAGATTTGTTGTGAGAGGCAGTTCCATCTCGTGAGTGTGACCTGAAACGCGTTGAGGAGTAAAATTCAGATCCAAATTAGTAGCTGTTTTGAAGTGGTATCTGTGAAATATTTGAAGTTGGGCTGAACGATTATTCAAATTCAAATCAACATCGCAATGCAGTAGTATGTAATTTTCAAACTGCAAATGCTGCAATGTGGGAAATCTAAAAAGCCACTTGCTTCATTTCAGTCAGTTGGCTTTATATTTTTTGTATGAATGGATATTTTACTTGTTTTTATTTTTTACATGATTTCTAGATTAGTTCAACACTTTAGGGGCAGTCTCCATGTTGTTTAAATATGACTGTTTCATGACACATGAAAAAATTGACTTGATCTGGCTGCCGCTGCTCACCTGCAAATTTTTAAGATAATTTTATCTGCGGTTTTATTGTTTTGCTCTTGATTGTAAAGTGTCCTTGAGTGTTGTGAAAGGCGCTTATAAATAAAATGCATTATTATTATTGATAAAGCAAACAGATTTGTTTGCGTCATTATTTCATTGTGACTGATGGCTTATTGTTACGCTGCACGTGTTTTGTAGAATTATGTGCAGTTGTTATAGAGACACTCAAAAGTCTACAAGAAACTGTTTCGTAAGTTAACAACTCTAATCGAAGAAGATAATCATATAAATTCCTGGTTTATTCGCCTTTATTTTAGCATTAACCTACGGTAACCTACAAGAGCAAGACATGTATGTATCATAAATCTGACACTGAGATTAATTTATTGCTAGTCTTAGTTTTTAAAAAATGTAAGAGAAGGGGACGTTGAAAAATGTAATTGTGTATTAAATCTCAATCAGAATACCGAGGAGGGGGACTGAATCACAATTTTTTTTTCTAAACGTTCATTTGTACTTTTAATAATCCAAGAACCGTGTGTACCTGTCTTTTTTGTCTTCTTCATCATCATCTGAACTCATACTTGAGTGGCTTCTCTTGTGTTTCTTCTCTTTTCTTTTCTCTTTGTCTCCTTTCTTTTCCTTCTTATCCTTCTTCCTCTTTTTTTTCTTGTCTTTCTTGTCGAGGTTCTGGCGCAGCTATGGGAGTTATACAACGTTTCATAGAAAAGTGATCAAAAACACCATAGTGTGCAAAAATCATAGTACAACTGCTCCGTTTTCTGAGGAGCATCTTTACCGGCAAAGCCACCAATCACTTTTTTTTTTTTTTTTTACCATTTCTTTAATTTTCTTCATCTTCACTGGATTCGTCAAGACTTCTCTCTTCTTTTCCTCCTCACGCTTCCTTGAGGGCAAAATGCAAGATGTACAGTTACAATTGTCATCCATACTTCAGTTTGAAATAAAATACCCCTTTTTTTTTTTTGACTGAGCACAGCAATGTTTCACCTAATTACAAAAAGAGGGTCTTCTCTGATCTTGGCGGCCATGTCCAGGCTGGAGGTAGCAGCAATGGGGCTGAAGATGGAGCCAGGAAGAAGTCCAGTCTCTGCTGATGGGCCACTTTCAGGCTCTTGATATTGATCAGTGATCTGCTTGTCAATGGGGCGACCCATGAGATACTCATCTCTGGACACCTGATTGGAAGGGCCCTGGTACATCCAATCCAAACGATCATCCTTCTTTCTATTATAGTGGAAACGACATATAGTGAGACAACCTGACTGACATCCGGACGTTTTCTAAAAGTTGCGTTCGTGAGAACTAACTTGATGGCACCGCTTTCCTCGGCGTATCTCGTCATCTCTTCGCGGGCTCTTTCCTCCTTAAGCTCCTTTTGAAGCTCCTCGATTTTCTTCCGTTCTGATTCATGTTTTTGCTCGGCTTTCCAAACGCGCTCGATGTTTTTCATAGTCTGGGGGTGCCAGCTCTTCTTTAAATTCTAGCGCAAGACAAAGGGAAGCCACTGAGTATAATCCACAACTTGGAACAGAAGATGCCATGACTGATGTGAACGGAAAGGAAATAGCAATTCATACGATGTAACCTTTGAACAGAGAACACTTACCAGATCGCCGCCTCCCATTTTCAAACCTTGCTTCTAGTTACTAATGAGAACAAGAAAAATAAAGAATATAGTCCTTTTCCAAATATCGGTGGTAAACGAAAGTTTGACGTTCACACGAAAGCCGAGAAGCTCAGGCCGACGTGCTCACCGTTTGCCTGCTCAGTTACTGTTGTGCTTCCGGTTGGAAATATTCTATTTCCGGTATAGGTCGTGGTGCGTTCAAGGCTGTCATTTTTGTTGAGTGATGCAACCACTCCCTTTAATCCACGTAAATTTCTCAACGAATCGTGGAAAAACTCATTAATTCAATAAAAAGAAAAATCAACATAATCATGGTTGATATATAATTTGATTATAATCACGTGTGTTGTGAATGTGTGTGTGTGTGTGTGTGTGTATATATAATATATACACAGACACACACACACTGGCCCCTGAGGGCCAGCAAGGCCTTCTCTGCTGGCCTAAACATTCTCAGAAAAGTAAATTTACTTAAATTTATGTTATTCTCAGAAAAGTAAATTTACTTTTCTGAGAATAACATTAATTTGTTATTTTATTTTCATAAATATGTTAACAAAATCATTCTCTGTATTCTTTATGTCATATTATTTCCACTTAGTTGAGTGGCTTTCAATGTTAAAATAACATTGAAAGCCACTCGAAAAATAACTTATTTATTTAGATAGAGTTTTTAACCAATCATATTTCAGATAGCTTGTGTTGCCAGGTAAATTAAACTTGCTCTCGGGGCCTTCAGATTGAACAGAGCAGGCGCCTGTGCACTGTAAATGAATGGGCACCGTCAGGTTCAATAGCCAATCAGATCACGAGTCTCAGACTCGTGATCACGTCTCTCGTCCTCTTTATGTGTATCCTGTATCCTGACTTGTTCTCGTCTGCGTACTAGGGCTAGCTAGAAGGCCTTACGTTGAGACTGGCCGTGCGCGTTCGGTGATTGGATTAGTGCCTTTTCTGTTTCCTGAGAATTGTATCCTGACTTGTTCAATAAAGATTAAAAAAAAAAAAAAAAGATTGGATTAGCGTTGCTGGAGCTGTCACTGCATTTTAACTCAAAATGGCCGAAGAAGACGTTGATCTGGCTGCAGAACTACTTTCCACACAATTTGCAAGACG